TATGGTCATACGTAGCACCTATTTCCAGCACTACAGACAGAATCACAAATCGACCACGTTTTGATTGATGGAAGACACTTCTCGGATATCATCGACGTCAGGACCTATCGCGGCGCAAACATCGATTCGGACGATTACCTTGTAACGGTAAAAGAAAAACCGGTGGAAACCAACGATTTTAAATTGAGTCACTACTTGACAGCCAATTGGTCCCAAGCAAATCGATCAACGTACCCCATTCTAATCGAAATTCTAGTACTACACTATGTTTGTTTTGATTCGCTATGAAAATTTGACAGATAAAATGAGGGGTTCGTAGATTTTCCTATGTTTCGAGGGGTGAATCGATTAGCTTGGGACCGAAGAGAGTAGCAGAACTGAGCCGAAAAAGTTGAGCACGTTATTTCGGGACCTTCTAGTCTTAGAGTTACCTCTATGGTAAAAGCATAGAGGTAACTCCAAGACCACTGGGTCCCGAAGAAAATCATTATTATTTTTGGCTCACTCAGTACCAGAACAACGGTCCCAAGCAGTCCCAAGCTATTTCACTCACCCCTGCATGTTCTGCATGAATCCACACACCCCTGATGTTATCTGTCAAACTTTCATAGCGAATCAAAACAAACATAGTGTAGTAATAGAATTTCAACTAGAATAGGGTACGTTAATCGTTTGCTTGGGACCAATAGGCTACTAAAGTGGTGAGCCAATTTAAAATCGTTAGTTTCGTATTGATTGTTGGTAAAAGTGCGCCAAAGACTTTCCGTTGTTAGCAACATTCGGTACCGACGCCGGATGAGGGTTAGCTGACCGAAGCCCCTCTTGAGGACTGCTGGGATAGTGTCAAAGCAGCCATTAACAGTGCAGCAGAAAGTACCATTGGGTTTGTGGAACGGAATCGACGAAACGTTTGGTTCGACGAGAAGTGTCAGAAGATTTTAGACGAGAAGAATGCAGCGCGGGTGATAATGGTGCAGCAAGGTACCCGCCAAAATGTGATGCGATATAAACAGAAGCGAAGACAGCAAACTCACCTTTTCCGGGATAAGAAGCATCGCCTGGAAGAGACAGCTTGTGAAGAAATGGAACAGCTTTATCGTTCACAACAGACCCACAAGTTCTACAAGAAACTCAACGGATCCCGCAAAGGCTTTGTGCCACGAGCCAAAATGTGTCGGAATAAAGATGGAGGTATCTTGACGGACGAACGTGAGGTGAACGAAAGGTGGAAGCAGCACTACGATGAGCACCTTAATGACACAGAAGCGGAGAGCCAAGACAGCAGGAGGAACGGCTTCATCGGTGCGGCGGACGTACAAGCAACAACTTCCACGATAGGTGAAGTTAAGGATGCTATCAAACAGCTAAAGAACAACAAGGCATTTGGGAATGATGGTATCGGAGAGGAACTTATGAAAATGGGCCGGGAAAAGTTGGCAACTTGTCTGCACCGACTGATAGTCAGGATCTGGGATACAGAACAGCTACTGGAGGAGTGGAAAGAGGGAGTAATATGCCAAATATACAAGAAGGGTGACAAGTTAGAATGTGAGAACTATCGAGCAATCAACATTCTCAACGCGGCCTACAAAGTGCTTTCCCAGATCATCTTCCGTCGTCTATCGCCGCTAGCAAGTAGGTTTGTGGGAAGTTATCAAGCCGGTTTTGTGGACGGGCGATCGACAACAGACCAAATCTTCATGTTGCGGCAGATCCTCCAAAAAAGTCGCGAATATCAAGTTCCTACACACCACCTATTTATCGATTTGAAAGCCGCTTACGATAGTATAGACCGTGAACAGCTATGGAATATAATGGACGGCAACGGTGCCGGGAAACTGATGAGACTGATTAAGGCTACGATGGATGGTGTACAATGCTGCGTGAAGATAGCGGGTGCGCTATCTGACCCATTTGAAACACGCAAAGGACTTCGACAAGGCGATGGCCTTTCTTGTCTCCTGTTTAACATTGCGCTAGAAGGTGTTGACGACGTGGACATTGTCGGAAGAACGTTTCAGGCGGTGGCGGACCAGTAGTATACCAGGCTGAAACGTGAAGCAGAAAAGGTTGGATTAAAGGTGAATACGTCGAAGACAAAGTATCTGTTGGCTGCAGGAACAGAGCGCGATAGGGCTCGCATTGGCAGAAGTGTGAAAATAGACGGACATGAGTTCGAAGTAGTGGATGAATTTGTGTACCTCGGATTATTGGTGACGTCAAATAACAGCTGCTGTATAGAAATTAGGAGACGCATTATTGTCGGAAGTCGTGCCTACTACGAAATTCCACAAGACCCTAAGGTCCCATATCCGCAGTAAGTGTCCCATGTACAAGACGCTGATAAGACCGGTAGTACTCTACGGGCATGAAACATGGACGATGCTCGATGAGGTCCTGAAAGCACTGGGAGTTTTCGAGGAGGAGAAGAATGAACCACGAACTGCCGCAACTCTATGCTGAACCCAGTATCCAGAAAGTCGCTACAGCTGGAAGGGTACAATGGGTGAGACAGAATGTCGGATAATATTCCCGCAAAAATGGTGTTTACCTCATATCCGGCTGGAACCAGACGCAGAAGAGCGCAGCGTGCTAGGTGGTTGGACCAAGTGGAGCAAGATCTAGGAAATTTGGGACGCTCGAGGAATTGGAGATAAGCAGCCAGGGATCGATTTAGTTGGCACAACATTGTTATGCAGATCAAATCCTGAGGGACGCCGGACCAGCAAAATTAAAGTAAATGTACACAACACATTTCTTATAATTCCTTTGTGTAACAAAGAAATACAAAAATCATCACGATTCTATAATACCATTAATCATTTTTTTTATGCAAAATGAATGCTTCTAGGATTTCAACGCTTCTGTTGCTTGTTGGCTCTCAACTTGATGTTCTAAGTACACTTCCAGTTATTAATTAGCCGTTTTATATGCAAACCAATGCATGAATTTGTATGCTATTTGCCAAGAACAATGGCACTCATGCCCATCAGGGAAATCGAGAAAACTTTCAACCCGAAAAATAATCTTGACCGGACCGGGAATCGATCCCACCGCCTCTGGTTTCGTAATACCGTGCCTTTACCGACTAGGCTATCTGAAGCTTCAACTACAAGAAGACTGAACGGTTTGGCAAGCTTCCCTTGGAGCAAGATCAATCTGTTTAAAGACGATTTAAAGTTCTTTCAGAACCGCACTACAATCAAATAAGTCCACACACGTCTGATCGAAGTGTTTAGACACTTGATTTTTCATTTGCATATACGATACGATACTCAACACACCTCTATACAAGCAAATCTGACGAACTTAGTCTTCTACTAATGACTGTTGCGACGGTTGGGGGACAAGCTCTTATTGCATATCTACTTACGCTTCTATTCACAGCTGTTAATCCTGCTGTTTAGTTGTGTGTGTGAAACCAGATTATCCAATATTCACTACACAAAGCTTTCTCTTGACGAAAGAGGTAAATATTGTTTACGGTTTTTTTTGTTGGAGGAATTTATCATGTTTATTTTACTGCGAAATCAAATTAATCGAAGCACACCACCAAATTAATTATATACGTTTTACAGGTACCTGGAATCGAACTCGAGACGACCGCATTAGCGAACCTTGATGCTACCAACTTCGCTACGCCAACACTTTGAACTGACGTAAACACATTTTCATGCCCTTCTACAAAAAGATTGCTGAGTAGAGGCTTTATAATAGTGCACATGAATCACTTTTCTCGACTAGTTACTTAAGCTTTGTAAAGGAGCAGAGTAAAAGCTGTAAAACTACACAAATCTAAAAATAACCCTAGTTGACTGTAAAATAACTTTCAAAGTAGCGCTAACACAGTTTACAAGTTGACTACAAGTTGTTTAGTTTTTGAAAAAGCACTTTTGATATTTATGTTATTCAGCAAGAGTGGTTGGTTGTGTAGAAGCCATCAAATGAGTAATATATTCGCTTTATTAGCTTTGTTTTAAAGCTTAAAGTTGAAAGCTGATTAATAATTGCATAGAAGTGACATTAGCGTTTATTGGGTGATGTTATTCAATGCGACTGACAAATTGAATAATGGTTGTGAAAAAGTTGAGTAAACGATCTCCAAAACAATTTTGCTATCTGCTTGTTGCTGTATCTGCAGCTTTGTTTCAGCTACTTTACAGCACAACGCTGGAAAAGTTGGCTTATAAAGCTGAAAATGTTAGTTGGGCAATTCCCGAATTAAACTCATTAAAAAAAGGCTTTTGTAAGCACTGCTCTCTAGCAGCTTTCCTTATATATTTGTTGATTAAATTTTGGAGTCGGTAAAGTAGAAGTCGATAAAGTAGAATATTATAAAACATTGAACTATTATGTGCAAAGGTATTGATTTCACCATTTGAGGCACATAGACTCCAAGTGTGTCACAATTCGAACCAATAGTGTTGACGCATGGTTCACAGCCTAAGATTCACACATGAAATGGATGTGTTTCACAATGAGTGCTCAATTAAGTGTGAGACACATGATGATGAAGTGTGGAATTTTTTGAGTATAGGTATAAGCAGGAGTAAAGGCCCAAACGCGATATGGGCGGAAGCGAAACGCAAACGGCAAATTTGACAGTTGACACAAATGACATGAACATGACTAACCGAAGTCTATTTGGGTCCAACTAGAGAGGGTCTAGTATAAGAGAGGAGTGGACTGGCTGGTTTTGAGCCAAACGAACTGTCAAAGCCAGAGCTAATCTTGATTGCATTGACAGTGTTGCTAGAAATCACCTAGGCACATGTTGCCAAGGCAGTTTGTTTTCAATCCACTCCTCTCTTATACTAGACCCTCTCTAGTTCTAACTAGTTTTCAATCCTACAAGTAGGCTTACTCAGATTGGGCTTTTCTGCAGCCACTGTCGTTCTGCTTCCGCTGTCATTGCGCTTGGGCCTTAATGATCAGCCTGAATGCGATTACGAACATTGGACAAATTAATTCGGATTTCCGGGAAATGTCATATTTGCGTGAGTTTTCCTAAACTTTATTTTCGCATAAAACATACATAGACAATCGAATACATATAGAATGTTTGATATTATTCAGAATAAAAGTGGAGGTCGTCTTATTCTATTCTCTAAACACTTGGATTACATTTTCTGTGCATATGTACTGATTAGTCAAATAGCTCGCTAGATAGCAATAAATTATAGATATAAAAGTTGCGGTTTTGTTTTTCTTCTACCTCACCTAATCTGTGTCAGTTTTAGAAACCATCATCACAGAGAAGAGTTTTGCTGTCCGAAATAAGTAGTACCACCTAAACACAAGCTACCCTACATTTATTGTTCGGGCTAGCTTTACCCTAACCCGACATTTCGATAACATTTAATAGTGATACAGTTGAGTTTTGGTAACTTTGTTCCACCTGTTTGGGGAAAGAGGATCGTTTTATTTGAAATCTTCTCTTCCGGATTTAATTAGTTATGTTCGATTTATCTAAAGTAGTAGTACATTTGTCTAGGGTAAAAAGTCACCGAAGTACTCAGCGAGTGTTGATTTAAATTATGTTAAAGTTAGAGTTAAAAAAAAAGTTAAGGGACTCTCATGGGGAAGGAAGTGATTATGACGGTGAGATTCTCTGCTTACAAGATTAAAAAATAAATTAATCGACCTCCAGCTTCCGGAAGCTACCGATCACTCCGGCCGCGATGTCAGCATCGGTACTGTCAGCCCAGTATGCCGAATTTTTGTTGATCTCAATCTGCATTTCGTCGAGAGCCACCAGCTGGTCTCGTTTCGCCTTCAAGAAAGTCTTGAACTGCGCAACGCATTCGGCCATTGGGATGGTGCCACCGTATTCTTTGGGAAGTAGTTTCGGGTTGACCTTGGCCTTGAGTTCTTCCATGCTTTTGTGCACAAAGACACGGTTCTTCAGTTTGTCGCTCAGAACGGACAGGATGAAATCGGACAGTTTGTTGGCGAACGATGGCAGGTTGACAAAGTGGTTCTCCTTCTGACGCATGGGAAGTGAGTTTTGGACGCAGTTAGCCAGATTCTTGATGTCGGTGAACGACCAAATTCCAAGGAATCCCATCGATAGATCGGAATCGTCGATGACGTGAACGTATCCGGCGATCTGAGATTCTTCCTCGTCCAAGAGAGCTTCGACTACCAGCGAGTGCACCCGGATGAGCTGGGCGGCTGTGAAGCGACTGGTGTCGAACTTGCCAGCATTGGAGAAGACAATCTTTCGACCACGTTCGTCACGTTCTGGCAGGGCAAACAGGTATCCCGTGTCGATGATGGCCTCCAGCTCGGGATCGTTGATGTCCAGCTTGTGGAACCAGTTGGGGTAGATCTGACGGATGGAGAGGTACTTTTCCAGCATTTCCGTGGCGGCTGGGATGGAGAATTTTTTGGTCCGGAGGAACCGCAGCAGGAACGGGGCATCGGTGCGGCACTTTTTGATCAGCGGATGTTTGGCGATCCATTCGCGGAACTGCTTCAGGCCATTCTCCCGGATGTCGTCGTCCTCGCGGAGCTCATCCTGGGCGGCCAGTTTGAATTTGTCCGGCAGGTTGAAGGCGTATACCTCGTATGACTCGGGTGCTTTGCACAGGTTCAGAGCGGCCACTGCGGAGAAAATAGTGAAAATAATGAGATTATTTTTAGGAAATTATTTTTTTTAATTTCGATTGTAACTTCTAAGTACTAGCATCTAAGGTTGTTGTTTTCAGTCCAATTTTTCGGACGGACATGACCTGGCTTGCTTAAACTCCTCAAACTCACTGGAGGTTTTAAAACACTCTTGTCCTGCGAGTTTCGCCAGCCCTCACTTCGAGTGAGTGGCGGCTGGAAGATGGAAGAAGTAAACAAAAACTCCTCGAGAGACAGGGAGAGTGAACTTGAGCGAGAGGATGATTTGACGTGAGGAGACTCCGGATGACTCTTTTGTTCGACGCAAGAAGCTCAGAGTTCACCCAGAGTGAGAGTAAGAGCGTGTGATAGAAAACATGAACATGAATGGCAGCAAACCTCAATGTCATTTTATCCCCCTTCGCTCACAAGCTCTGAAGCTCAGTGGAATTATTTGGCAGTAGGCATTCTACTCCTCAGAAAAATACTACGCTCGGCTCATTTCAAACTCGCGAGCAAGGCTCCATTAAGCCTGGCTATTGAATGGTCATCATCAGCTCAGAATTCCCTCAAAAGGCAACGATAGTCTGCACACTTTTGATATGCAGAAAGTTGCTGTCTGTGGCAAAGCTGTCCAGGTGGACAAGTCCTATTGGATAGACTACACACTTAGAAAAAAATCATGTAAATTTAGGTGCTCTGAGAGTGACATATACGAGCGTCAATTTTGACATAAATTATAGCTCAATCAAACGTACTTTTCGTCGAGCAACGAACTTTTCAGTCTCGTAGCACTTAAATAATATTACATGACATGTTTGTTTACGTCTCATCTTTTATGTCAAAGACGGATTCCGTCACGTGTAAAATTAGGTATGTCTAAGTGTGTAAGTCTGATTCTTCAATTCGAAATCTTGATTATAGTTATTCTTCATAGCTATTACGTATCAACTGGAACTTATCATTTGCTTCCAACCTTATTTCCATTGTCGTTTAAAGGCCGGCCGTTACTTGTGAAATGTTGATCACACAAAATGTGTTTTTATTGGCCTGCCAACATTTGATTTTGCATATACTATAAATCTTATGATAAACGTTCACGAGTCTACCGATATTTTTTTATACAGATATTAGGGGACGGCTCTGAAGAGCCAATACATTCTTATGTTAAAATAAATTACACCAACGATTTTCTAAGATAGAATATTTTAAAACCCACCGATTTAGGAATATTAGCACCCAAATTAACTTCAGTTGAAGAAAAATCCGAGGTACATGATAGTTGATAAATCCGTAGTGAGTACAATTTTCCTCAATGTTCCTCATATTCGAGCAGATTTTTTCTCGAATATGAGTGACATTTACTCATAACGTAACTGACACTGCCATTAATGAATCACTGACAGACGACAACATTGCTGCCTCCACGGGTAATAATAGCAGTAGGGGAGAACAGCCCATAATTCACTTCTTCTTCTTCTTCTTGGCATTTCAAGCTTATTGCTTATCGCATATTTGCTTATTGCGTGCTCTCAACTTAGTGTTCTAGATGCACTTCCACAGTTATTAATTGGAAGCTTTCGATGCCTGTACCATTTTTGCATTAGAATAATTGTGTGGCAAGTACAATCATACTATATGCCCAGGCAAGTTGAGAAATGTTCCAACCCGAAAAAATCCTAGAATGAACCGGGAATCGAACCCAGCAACATCCAGCATGGGCTTGCATTGTAGCTGTACCTTTACCGACTGAGCTAAGGGCGGCCCCATTATGCACCCCTAGGGTAAAAATCCCACTTGTAGAAAAACAAACAACGATAACTTGCCTAATAAAATTTGTATTGTTATTTTGCTTAAAGACATGTTCGGGGTATCATCCAAACCATATGTGGAATAGTTCTATCATGTGAGTTATCGTTCGTTTATGGTTCGAAATCACTCGATTTTAGTAGAAATATACTCAACTACTCTCCTCGATTTTAGCTCCCATACGCAAGCAATTAACGATTTTGCTTAAATGGTACATTTTGCACCATCCTACCCCTACACCACCTCAGATCATCACTTTCCTTCAGCCTATTACCTGGGACGATAAAACTGGCGAAGCCACACCTTCATACTGTCCTACCCGTACAGATGATATCGTCAGCTTCTACTACCAGAACGTTAGGGTTCTCAAAGTATGACATCGTAGTTCTCTCAGAAGCCAGGTTGAAAATTGAGATCTCATCGTCTCAAATCTTCGGGCCGCAGTGTCAAGGCTGTGTTCCATTTGGTGAATTTTCACTTATATTTGACACATGGAAAATTTTCAAATAAACCTGTTATTGTACCAGACATATTTCTGACAGACAAGGATTCAATTTTGACAATCACCTTCTCGAAAATCAACAGAGGAATTTTCTAACATTATATTTTATTTTCGAAGTGTCATATTTAAGTGAAAATTCACCAAATGGAACGCAGCCCAAGTGTACCGTAAGGATCGCGACCCCATACGATCTGGTAAGACAAAAGGTGAAGGGGTACTAGTAGCTGTGCATACTCGGTTATTTTCCAGTAGTTGCCCTGTGGTGGTAGATGAAGATACAGAACAAATTTGGGTAGTTATCGATGCAGGAGTACGACATATTTACGTTGGAGGCGCTTATATTCCTCCTGATCCAGCAGAGAACGTGAACAATATTAGTAAGTTTGTCGAATCAGCTGACAGAGTTCTGAGCTCGGCTCAAGAGGTGGACTTCCACATGACATTTGGGGATTTTAATCAGCCTTCCCTTTATGAGGCATACAGTCTTGGGAGGGTTTGTTTAAACGGATCCTCACGAATTTTCGTTTCCCCAATCAAGTACTTGACGGTACGGAAGTGTTATGTTTAAAGCAGTTGATTCCGATAAAGAATGTAGGAACAGAACCTTAGACATTTTATTCGGTAACGCCGACAACAGATCACTTTGTGACGTTTCTGATCCTCCCGAACCACTATCGTGTATAGATCAGTTACATCCGCCATTCCAACTTCTAGTGAAATGTTCACCACTCCAGGCTTTTAAAATATTACGCTTGAGTCGAAATGGTCATAATTGACTTCTCGATACAAGATCTCACTAATACAACCTAGCTAGTGTAGCCGTGTAAAATCGATTTGTTTATTATTTTCAACCACGAAATCAGCTGTCAAAGTGTTCGACTTGACAGCGGTTTATTTTCTATTTTCAACCAGTAAAATACATGTATTAGTGAAACTGATCACTAATACTAACGGTGGTAGAGAACTCTATTAGAGTCGGTGTACAATGAGTCACGCCAAGAGAAAAACAGTTGAACTCGCATCAGGGTTTTCGGAAGATTCCCATTCTTTTCACTTGGCAACAGAGGACTTTTACAACAACTTCAAATGACTTCTAGCGAGAGAAAAAATATTGCGGCTGTAGCAAATCATTATATAAGTGATTTTGTCAAATTATCTTAACAAAAAATAGTAGAAATTCTCATTACTAATCATTACCGAGCGTATCCCATGACAATTTAACGCTCACTGCGTGTTTATGCTCATTTTTTCGATTATATTTTATATTTTATTGCAATACCTTTCTTGGACCTTTCATTGGATCGTAATGTTTATTTACTTTGCACGATAGGTAGCCGGTTTGACAGTTCAATAGGTAGACTTGGCTTCACTCTTGGCGTGACTCATTATACACCGACTCTAGTCATAATATCGATGGAAGATTCATATTCCCTCGTGTTGAAAACACAGACAAAGTTTAATTTAAGTGGGAAAGATTCGCGTCATATTGTACCTGTTTCAATCTTAATTCCAAATCTTCAATATGGTTGTTTAAGGTCTACTTTGGTGAAATAAGACCACTGACCACACACACAATCTAGAAACTACTTAATTACTCGCTCGTAGCAGGTACCTACCTGGCTTCATTCATATTGTTGCAAGACAGAAAGTGAAACTGGCCTCCCAGCCATTTAGCAGAAAACTCTAGTATGGTAGATGTAATCAACAACATCTGCAACACGCAAAACCTGTTTCGATTTACGCATAACATTCGCGCCTTCCCTTATTCGCTCACTTTTTTTCTCGCCATGCGTTCAGAAGCTCCATATGATATAACATTGCCTACCGGCCTAGTCGGGGTATCGTACACGCATAAAATAAATAACATAACCAGTAGAAAATATCCATGCGAACTTTCATGTGAGCCTATAATTAGAAACAACAGCACTAAATCATATGAACCTTATGGGTCCAATGAAATCTATATGATTACTCACATTTAATTTATTAAGTTATGTGATATTCAAATAATAATAATTAATTTCGTTATTGGAAAAATATGATGGGTGTTCCTAATAGAAACCATGTGAAAACTGTTTTCAGTGTAACGTTGCAAGCTGATTCGACGAGTTATAGATGCACAGTGCATAATGCACTCGCTCACCCTCATAATAGATGCTGCATATCTGTATCTTGTGCCAAAAGCAAGCATAGAGTTCGCGCGCGATTTGCAAAACTTAACGCGGCTGCCTCGACGCCACTTACCCTGACCCGTAAATCCATAAAACGAAATGAGCACGAAATCACACTAATCTCGACCAACGACGACGCCGGCTAATAATCTGGTTCGACTTCACCCGCACTGATTACACATATTGATAATTGGTGCTTGTTGTTAGTGGTGGTAGTCAAAGGGAAAATTGTCGCCATTTCAAGCATCATGGTCACCCACTCGACTGGCGACGGCAGTATGCTAATCAAAAACCGCGTCGTACCTATTGGTATTAGGATTGTATAATCTCTGATTTCGTGATGGCCATCGTCTGATACGGCGCCCACTGGAGCGGATAACTGCCAGCCGAACGCGATCGGTCGGTCGATTTTGGCTTTCCGGATTTCGCTGATGACAAGGAGGTTATGAAATTGCGTTGTCGTCGCCTTGAATCGCGTGTCATCATCCGGCGAAATTTTTCCGCGCTGAAACCAC